TTTTTCACCAAAGGCGAAAATTCTCCATGGAGGCTGAACAACCAGTTGAATACTTGGAAAGATCGGCCCTTCAGGAGGAAGACTTTGAGTATCTCGACAAGATGAATCATTTAGAAGACATAGGAAGGTCCGCCTGAGAGGGGGAACGCCACCGAAGATGAAGACACACGGGCTTTCACGAGCCTCTTAAACGCATGCTGCACGTGGATCCCCGGAAGAGAATCACCCCGAGCAAAGGGCTGGGACACCGTTTCATCACGATGAAACACTTTGCGAGAGGCGCCGACGAGGACGATTACGTCGCAGCAGCCCTTTTAACTCTGAAAAACAGCCAACTTGGGCAACCATCCGGTGAAGTCAAGCGCTATGTAACATCCAGCGGAGTGATGAGCTGCACTTTATCGTCTGTTAAAAGCTTAAAGGGTTCCTTTTCAGAGAAGAAAGAAACAGAAAGGAAAGGAAGAACAGTGAAAGACGACAGTGGTGCTGGTAAGACACAACCTCACAAGACGAAGGCAGCCCATAAGCATGCACATGTCAAAATCACACAGAAGGTAAACCCTCCTTCTAAATCTAAAACCACTGGATTTGTTGAGACTAAAACCAGGAGGGCATGGCTGAATAGAATGCGCACAAACCTCTCCAGGTTTTTCAGGTATTTGAGTTGCAGCAGGGATGACGCATTACCTTGAGAGGAGACTTTGGACACAGCAGAGGGTCTCAAGTCCATGGTGTTGTACAGGAGAGCTAAATGCTACATGTTCAAGTGTTTGCAAAGGGGTTTACTCTGAGTGCTTCAGTCCCCCCCCCCCAAAAAACAAACATTAAAGTCTGTGAAAAATATATTAAAAAAAAAAAGTTGAATTCTATCATTACAACGCTGCTTCGATGAATTTTAATATATGAGAGCTGATCATTATTTTTGTTATTGACATTTACTCAGTCAGGTGAGGAAGCCCTCGATGGACATACAGTCATTGATTTTATTTTACTTTGTTCTACCTTGATAACAAACCTAACCCTAAACTGTGGTTGTTTTCTCAAGATCTCTCTTCTCTTTATCTCACACTGTAAATAAAAAAGTTAGTGTTCATGCTGCCTTAAAATTTTAAGTTAACTTAACTTTTTCTACAATTCTACAATTCACTTAGCAGACGCTTTTATCCAAAGCGACGTACATCAGAGAGTAAGAACAACACAAGCAAGGATCTAGAAAAAAGGGAACAACGTCAGTAAGAGCAAACGATCAGCTTTGAGTCTGATTGGACACACAGGTGCTGACAGGAAGTGACCAGAGGCAAAGCACAACATTGAGGGCAGTTCTTGAGAGCTCTAATCAGTATAGAAACCATCTTATAAGTCATCATTATCAAACAAAAACCATCGTCACAACCATCATCATCATCATCAATAATATGGAGAGCATCATCATTAAGTTAGTAGGTATTCATTAAAGAGCTGGGTCCCGCCCTAGATTTTCATCTTGCAATCAACAGAGAGTGTGACACGCGTCAACTGCCTCTCCTGTTGGTGCTCAGAGAATGAAACTTAATTGCTCTGTCCAAACAAAGCCTGACAACGACCCACTGTCAATATCTGCACATTGCACTTTGACACCCTGGACACTTTACACTGTTTACATTATTCTATATTTTGTATATTCAATTATTTATTTTTTAAATTTTACATTATATTCTATTTCACTGTATATGTGTGTATTAGCAATTTGAATGTTTATTGCATGGCCTTGCAGAACAGTCTTTACATTTCACTGCACATCTGTATGAGCATGTGACAAATAAAAATCTTGAATCTTGAACCTTGTATCTTGAATCTTGAAAATCTACTCAAAGCAAGTTTGGATTCAGCCACCTAGCTGACAAGACGCTCCTAGTTTTCAGATCAGAGCTCGTTCTGCTGGCAGTTTCGGATTCAGACTCTTTTAAGCTTGAAAAGAAAAAATCCTGCACACTTATTGTGATCTTTCTAATAAATTGGTGATACTTAGCAAGATTATTGTGCGGGATTTTTTTCTTTTCAAGTAATCGTTTTTTTGCCCTACGAGATAGTTGGATGTGCGAACACCTCCTTAAAAAAGTTTAAATTAAATGAATAAAGACAAGTTCAGATACATTTTTGAGTTAATTTTGAAAGTTGTACTTAAATTCTTAAGTTAAACAATCTTTTGATCACAATTAAATTCCTCCAAGCAAAAGTCCTTATTTGAAAATACTTCATCTAAAGTTGAATTCACCTAAATGATTAAATGACACGACTTTCATAATGTTATTTAAATATGCATTTCTATTGGAGTTAACTTTAATAAATTCATTCTGCTTCTGGTAAGACAATATTGCACATGTTTAGTGATCGTCTTTGCTTTTATAAAATCGTCGAGCTGAGCTGCTGGAAGTCGTTGGTTCCGGCTGTTTTCATGAAATAAGTGAAAGTCTTTCAGAGTGGTACAGTGCATGCTATAACCCGTAAACATGCACATCTGTAGAAAGAATTAGGACTTTGGTTTTTTGACCTCCTGTAAGTTTGATTATTATGTGTGTGACAAATCCACAGGCTCTTATCCTGTCTCCCACTGGGACACACAGTAAGAGACAGGAAGATTTGACCGAGGACAATTTATCCAATCAACTTGAAGAAGTGATGGGATTAAATATTTTCAAACAAACCTGTCAAAGGGTAATAATCTAATATAGCCGCATGTCAAGGGGTTACAAGTAGCTCAGTATTAGATTCTGCACGACGGGACACCTTTCCTAATATGGAAAAAAGATAATCTGCTGCACTCTTGTGTAGGCAGCGTTCGCCTAGAGATTAAAAAACACAAACATGAGGGATTTTTTTTGTTCATTCCAGCATGCTGCTTTTGTCCCTGCTGGACCCTGGTGTGCATTCTTGGAGTGGGATCAATAAACTGAGTGTAATTCTTGTGCCTTTGTCAGCCGTCTTGGCACCGTGTCAGGAAAAGTTTGACTGTGTGACCCCCAGGGCTGAGTAGGATTGTGATATAAGGGGGGGTATAAATGTCCCTGCAGCAATGCGGGGCCACAGTCTGGCTGCCTGAGGAGACTGTCACACACAGCTCCAGCTCAGAAAAGGTAAGACAGAGTGTACATGAACTTTCTCAAATTATAGATGATCACACTTGATTTTTTTTCTTTTAAATTACCTTTGTACTAACTTTTTCTGTGAATCATCAGATAATACATTTATTCTCATACAACTTTATCTTTACTGTGCTACTGCTCTTTGGACCGTCGCTGCAACAGTTGATGAATGCACCATCAGCAAAATAATTGGCCGGTTTTTGATAACCAATTTTTTTGTTAAAGCTTTTTGAACTGATGAAAAAAGCCAAAGAATGTTTTCTTTCAGGTCCTCAATAGAGAGGAATTACTGCTCTCTTTCTCATCTACTTTACAGACTGACTATCTTCAGACTGTGAAGTGTGGGTGAAACAAAAACAAGAGTTAGGGTTAAAGCTTGGACTGAAGGTTGTTGTAATCTTTTAAATTTGATAAATCAAAAAGCTCAATTGAAAACCTAAAGACAGGGGAAGGGAAATCTACAATATTTACATCAGAGCAGGTGAATTAAAGACAACTTTGACTTTCTGTTGGGTCTCTGTCTAGTTGATGGTGGGAAACACATTTTTCCTGAACTCTTGTATACTTTGTGCGTCTACATGTTTTAGCACCACATTGTGCATTTATATGTAGACCTACAATGAATGTATCACGCAATCATACTTTAGTGGCTCTTGTGACCAGCTTAATCGATCAAGACAAAGACCCCCTGCTGTGATGGGCAGCTGTGGCTCAGAGGTAGAGTCAGTCGTCTCTCAACCGGAAGGTCAGGGGTTTTGATCCCCAGCTCCTGCAGCCACATGTCCGATATGTTCTTGGGCAAGACACTTAATCCAACTTGCTACTGCAGCCTCGTCGGCAGCTTGTGAATGTGTATGAATGGATTAGTAAATACTGGTGGATGTTTCTTTTCCCGTAGCCCCAAAGGATGCATCAAGACCCCAACACATCCTGAGATTCATTGTGCGACAATTTAAATGAAATGCCGGACGGTAGACTATCAGTCAAAAATGTAGCTGTACAAATATTAAAAACTGTAACCTTGAAACTTTAGATTATTCTTAAAATAATAGGTTAAGTGATGTAATGTCAGTGATGTTTTGAGTTGTAGTGCAGTGGTTTCGGTTGCTAGGCAACAGGAGTTGCACTTAGTAATGATAGGATCAGGATGGAAACACCTGGTGACGCTCTTTTCAGTTTGGCCTGAGCAGTCTACACAGGATCCAGAGGCTGAAGGATGCTAACCCTGAAAATATGGACACAGACCAAATCAGCCAGCGTAGAGTGAATGCCTCTTGTCCAATCGGATTACTCGGATCAAACTAACTGATTAATAAACTGTGATAAAGTGGTGACCTTTAAAAAAGCAATCTGCTGTATCAATTACTGTGACTCTCCCAACAGATGAATCTTCCAGTTGTGTCCGTCATCCTGCTGGTGGTTTCTACTGTCCATGCTTTCCAGTACACAGAGCTGGCACAGTATATTGACAGCCACCAAGAAGAATATGTGGAGGTAAGATATAGCTTCTGCTTTCTTTGTTCCAAATTAAAGCGCTAAATTCAAACAGCTAGATACTGAAACCTGTTTTTTTTTTTGTTCTTGTCAGTTTAAAAAAAATCTTTAACACAAGTCCTACAGAGTCTACCTTCTGTTAATATATCCTTCTTCTATCCTTCCTATATATATATTACTATATATAATATATTACTCCTTTATTCCAACTATAGCCATTACACAACCCCGTGTCACTCTGAATTCTTGATAGCTATTGTACTTTAGTCACTGGGAGCTGTGGCTGATAAGAGCCTGCAGCTAAACACAAAAAAATACAATCACTACAATCTACAATCACTCACCTACAACTGCCCGTCTGATCAATACGAGTAGATAATGTAAAAAAACAGCAAAGATGTATGAAAACACACTTTAAATATGACACATCCACAAAGTTCCTGAATTACAAACATTAAAATGACCAAAAAGGTGTCTGACCAATTTCAACTTTCATGTTCACAATAGTTCTCTTAACTTTGGAGGAGTCATCAGAGATCAGTTTCATATCTTAACCGGGACATTACCTCTCTTAACCAAAAGGTGGCAGCAAAACAAGAAAACTATCGATGAAGAGCAAAGTATACCTCAAGTACAAGTAGCTCTAAAAGAAAAAACAAGAAAAACTAAATTGCTTTTTAATGAAAGCAATACATGTTCTGCCAACAGAAAATAAGGGATTTAAAAGTATTAAAAAAATATATCCACTATAAAAAAAAAAACACTAAACCCAGAACTAGTGCAGCAGGACTGAGATTAAGCTGTGACTGAGAAATGTCTACTTACATGCAAAGTAAAAAGAATATGATTTGAATATAAATAAAGCTTTCTACCATGCACTTCACTTTAAAAATATATAAAACATAAAATAAAAATGAATGATGAATTCACTTGCACTTAAGATTGTCCTGCATTAACCAATAAATTAATTTCAGATAAGAACAAAAAAGAAAAGTGTAAATGGCACGTCTGTATATTCCTCAATATAAAAAATGTGTTGACTTTGTTTCATAAACCTGTAAGGAATACATGATTGGTGTTCTGTAAAGAGGAAACAAATCTTAAAATAATTAATTCTGGATTCATAAAGCAGTTTAGTTTTTAGCTGATCAGGCAGCTTCATAATGTTGCTTATTCTAATAAAACATTCAGGTATATGCTATAATGCAATGTCAGGAATAACATAAAGTCTGAGTAGGACAAAGACGCTTTAAACACATGAAATGCTTAAAAATATAAACTGTTAAAGTAAGAAAAAGATTCCATCATTGTGCAAAAAACAAACAAAAAAAACATTACATTACATTAACATTAACATTAACATTACATTTCTCTTATTTAAGGCATTTAATAATACTTTGACCCAACACTTTTCTTATTTTTTAAAAGGTTCATTTTTGGGCTTTTAATGCCTTATTTCAGAGACAGGACAGTGGATAGAGTTAGAAACCAGGGAGAGAGAGAGAGAGTGGGTAATGACATGCAGGAAAGGAGCCACAGGTTGGATTTGAACCCGGGTCGCCCACCTGGAGGAGTACATCCTTACATGGGGTGCGCACACTAACCAGGCTACCGGCGCCCCGACCCAACACAATGTTTACTGAGATAATAAATATAGGCTACTGTATGAACTGCAGTGACGTTGTGCTGAATGTTTTGTGTGTGTGTGTGTGTGTGTGTGTGTGTGTGTGTTTCAGGCTTTGCGGGACTGGGTGGCAATTGAAAGCGACTCCAGTAACGTCCAGAAGAGACCAGAGCTACACCGCATGATGGAGATGACGGCTCAGAAGCTGAGGCTGATGGGAGGGACTGTAGAGCTGGTGGACATTGGAGAACAAGAAGTGAGTGAGAGAGCTGTCCCCCCCCTGCCCCCCCCCCTCCCCCTCCCCCCTGCAGCACAGGAGCCCCTCCTTACCGTTGTTAAACAATGACAAACTAACATACTTAATAAAAGTAATAAACGCTAATTGGCTGGTAGAAATTGTGTATCTATACAGACAAGGCGGCTCATCAGAAACATCAAATAGGCAGCAGAGCAGACTGGACTAAATCTACCTCCTCATTACTGACTGAGACGCATCAAAGCAGCTTCCCAAACTCATTAAACATATATCGGGTTTGAGGTCGGACTACAGGTCAACAAACCCAACTTTTCACCAGTAATTAGGACCAATATAGTTTGATCTTTCTTTGTGTTCTACTGTCTGGTACAGTAAAAAACAATAGCTAACGACCCTCTGACACATACTTACAGTGTTTGTTTTAGAAAAACAAGAGCTGCAAAACATCTCTAAACCTCTGCTTTCTGAAGATTGTGGCTGTTATAATAGTTCATATTCGAATGATAATGAAATACATTTGATATTTAGAAAAAAACACCCAGATTGAATGTGACTCTAAACCATAACTTGTCAATTTACAGATGTTACAGTTGGGTTTGGGTTTGGTGAAACTAGATAGTCTGTAACCTGAACTGTGCTTACACTAAATGGAATGAATGTTCATTTCTACTTGTAGAGTAAATATCAGGCTGTGAGGGAGGAATACTTCCCCCAGGTAACACATGCATTCCCTGAGTTTGAACACTCAACACATACACAAATGGGAGAAAAACACAATTGTGAAAATTATAGCTGCAAAATTCATCACAGCCTGTCATAACCCGAGGACAACCAGTGGAACCTGAACACACACGCATAGACACACAAGAACAAATTAAACATGCAAACGTGAAGTTTTCACTTCATGTGACCAATCAGTAAAAAGCCTTTCTCTTTATTTGGTGGTCGTTACGGTGATGCCTCAAGTGCATCATTGTTTCTCAACCGAGTAACAGCTGAAAATAACTTCCATGCTGCTGATCAACAAAGACCAATGAAAATGTATTTTATTTATGACAAATAATTATCTTATAACTTAAGTCTTCACCCTTAATCTTACAGTTCGTGTAAAATCATACCAGGGGCATCATGTGGTGAAAATGTCAGCTAACACACAAGTTCATTATGGTATACAAATGGTTATTAATGAACAGAAGGAAGTCTCTCCAGCTCCACTTGTGGGAAACAAAATCAGGAGTAACAAAACAAAGTCACAAAACATTTCAAAGGGCTGCAATCCTATTAAAACGCATTACAAACATGAAACAGGTAAAACTTTCTGCAACTACTCATCCCTAAAAGTTATATCAAATTTAAAAAATGGTCATGACAAACTGTAAAGGAGGACGTCATATTATGCCCTTTTTGGGGTTCGTATATTTAATGTACCTACTAAAGTATGTTCACAATAGCTAAAGTTCTTAAAAATGTACCGCCGCTCCATGCACCGGCTCGCTTCTGACTCTCTCTCTAAGGCTCTGAAGTGCCCACGTTCAGAGTCCCCACGAGTGCCAAGTCTGATCTGATTGGTCAGTTGCTCAGCACGGTTCTCGGAAATGTCACCCCCCTTTTACCATATTGGGAATGCAGCCACTTTGGCTCCAAGGGGAGCATAAACCTTAGCACCTTAGCACTACTGTGCTACCGCAGGCTACTGCATATCGTGGGCGTGCTACAGAAGTTAACGGGCGTGCAACATGAGCTGCTGGGCTTGTCACAACGAGCCAATGGGCTTAGATGACGTCACATTGGCAAATTTTTTTCGAGGGGGGCTAGAACCGAGCGTTACATGCAGCTAATGCACATAGATGTGCCTAAACATGCACAGGACACTTGGAAAACACACTAAAGAGCATATAAAACCAGAAAAAGCAGAATATGACCCCTTTAAGATCTACTTGGAGCTTGGTGTAAGATTAAAGGTGTAACATATGCCTATATGTTGGAACTATCTCAGCTTAGGAAACACCTTAAATGTCAATACTGTGTAAACTGAAACTCTGACCTTAATTAGAAATTATGTTAAAATGTTTGAACTCCGGCATGGCAGGTGAGACCCAGGTAAGATCTGGTCCCACTAAGAGTATAGAGGATAACATATACGGGTGGGTTAAGTAGTAAGTAGTAGTTCACTTGACATTCCAAGGTCTAAAAAATGTGTACACCACCTTGTGAAAAATATGATCACCTCTGGCTCCAAAAAGCAAGAAGACTACTAGTCCAAACTCCAAACTCAAGGAGTCAACATGATGGTCCACAAACAAATGGTTGAAATCATTGTAGATGTCTTCCCTAAATGTAATTCTGCAGTAGCTCAAACTGATACGAACTCTTCTTTAATGTCTGCAGCTCCCTGACGGGCAAACGGTAACTTTGCCTAAAGTGGTGACGGCTCAGTTTGGCAACGATCCGAGCAAAGTCACGGTGTGTGTGTACGGTCACGTGGACGTCCAACCAGCGAAGCTCGAGGATGGCTGGGCGACGGAGCCCTACAACCTGACTGACATCAATGGTAACATTATGAATCCATATCTCACAGCCCCATAGACCGAGCTTGACATCACTGAAACTAAGTTCATATTTTATACATGTCTACGTCTATGATCACGTCATACCTAAATTGATTTTTTTTTTGTGAAAGAATATGCACAGACAGGATTTGATATCATATTGAAAATAACATTATAAACAGCTAACGCCTTTGCATTCAATCCACTGTTTGGTTTAACATTCAGTACTCAAACAACACAGGTTCAGTTGTCTCATTTTTACCCAGGCATTTCATTTCCAACAATCTTCATTGTAACATAACCCTCATAATGGTTCTTGTACTTATAGGTAACCTTTATGGAAGAGGAGCATCAGACAACAAGGCCCCGGTTTTAGCCTGGATCCATGCTGTGGGGGCTTACCAGGCCCTCAATATGGTAAGAGACATTTATTTATTTTATTCTTATTTTTCTTTATTTAGGAAAAGCATTCTTCACACATTAGTAATTACGCATAATAGCAGCATAAATGCAAGACTCCTCCCTGAAACTTTCAACACTGGAGCACTTTCTTTGCAGAAAGAGGTGGGTATGATGCTTGAAGTACATTTAACAATTTAGCTCTTCCAAAGATTTTTTTCATATTCAAGTAACATGCAATTAATTAAATAAAAATGATTTACAAAAGAAAGAGACATTTATTAATACCACTGTTGTATTGAATGGCTTTTCATGCACTCGATGAATAACATCTGATGTGCGAGGGGAGGAGAGCTGCAAAGGCAATGTGACCTCAGGTAACACCAAAGTACAGATTATTGAATGATTTGCAAAGGATTTGAAATATAAAGAAGGGAAACAGAGACAGTTAAGATGAATCTAAAAGATAACTCTCACTGACAGACTGCTACAGCGAATAAAAAGAAACAAACTAACTGCACACCCTCAGGCCAGGGAAAAAGACTGAAGCTGAGCCTCAGCCAAACTCACTCACAAAGTCATTGTTGTTTCTGCAAAGTCACCGCAGCAGTCTGTTCCCTCCATCCTCACCACCACTGTGAAGTAATGCTCAGCTGAATGTGCACATCAAAGGCCTCAGCCAGATGCCGGATGCATTAAAGGGGGAAAGGAAATGCGGTTTGTTGACAGACTTTGTTTCACATGCAGCTAATGGCTCATGGTTTGAGGCATTGCAAAGCCTGTTACAGCACCATCACGCAGAGCAATTAGCATGCTTATCATCCAGTAGTCACTTGATTCTCCTCTGTCCTGACTCATCCTGCTGTCGCTGTCACTCACTACCAAACACATCTCATGCTCTGTGCCTCCCTTTTTGTCCTCCAGGAGCTGCCGGTGAATGTGAAGTATGTCATCGAGGGCATGGAGGAGACCGGCTCTAACGGTCTGGATGCCATGATCCTGGCCCAGAGGGATACCTTCTTCTCCGACGTGGATTACATCATCATCTCAGACTGCAGCTGGCTCAGCAGACGGCCCGCCCTCACCTACGGCACCAGAGGAAACTGCTACTTCTTCGCTGAGGTTGTGCACGCAGACATACACACAGAAAAAAAAAAAAAAAATCCACAACTGATTCAAGTTCTGCCTGATTGTTCTCCCTTGGTGGTGAAAGTTTCCTCTGGTGTTTGCAGGTTGAAGGACCGAAACAGGACTTACACTCTGGTGTTTATGGAGGCACGGTGATCGAACCAATGACTGACCTCATTGGGATTCTGGGTAAGTTAGGAAAGAGTTGACACATTTGACATGTTTGTCCCTCTCACGTCTTTACACAGATATTTTTGGACCCACATATACAGTATAGCATTCCAGTCAAACTATTTCCATGTGTATCATAAACCATGTCAAATATTCCATAAGAGAAAATAAGTGGAGGCAGGGGAGTGTTACAGTTGAAGGTCATTGTCTGAGTGATCTATAGTTATAGACATATTACATATTATATTACAGAAACACAAAAACATCAATAAAACAAACAGTTTATATTTCAGCCAGCTGCTTGTTTGCTCTGCTTATGTTTCCAACTTTTATTGATTTGTCTCTTATCTGCATTTTCTGTGACGAGTGATTCAGATCTGTGACATCTTGCATGATGTCATTATTGTTAATCTTTGATTAATGACAATCATCCCCTTACATTAATGCCTGTAGTGGGATTGTCAGGATACTGGAATTTAAAACTTAGATACAATACTGGTTTGGTTTCAATCAAACAACACCTGTTTCAATACCAAGTCAACAAATCCAGAAGTATGAGACACCCAATATAATAAGTTAGTTCTAAATCACAGCAGACATACTCCTGCACACTGTCTAAATTGCACAAATACATTGCACATATTATTTGTGCAATTTAGACAGAGGGCAGATGTGTCAGTTCCTCTGAAACGTCAACATAACTTTTGCATCTTTATGAGACGCCAAAAAGACTTGAGAAATGTCAGTATTTTAGTTGTTGTCACCTCTGTTCTGTCTGTCGTTGCAGCAGCAGCTTAATGTTTTAAATATGACTAAAGATCTGTCGTTTAGTTTGACAGCTTCAGTACTTTTCAGTACTGTCATTTTTTCAAATAACAGAGATTGTATCTCTTTTAAACACGTGGTATTGAAAAGTATTGAAGTGTCAGTACCCTGACAACATTAGAAGTTAACCACTAATATGAACATTTTACACAATACAGTGATTGTTTATGACAAATATGATGGAGAAGTCAATTGAGTATATTTCAATAACAAGATGCAGTGTACATGTAGCTGAAGAGAGCTGTTGTGTATACAAAGTCATAATATCGTACTGTTACTGAAAGGACAGATGTCAGGAGGTAGATATTGATGTACACATTTCATTTCAAAGGTCAAAGCCCTCTGGCGTGCGAGGAAGAAGGCAGAGAAATTATGAGAAAGAAAAAAACAAACATCAAAATAGAGGTTACTTTAAAATATTGTGTCTTTAATGGTGTTTTCACACAAACTCAAAAAGTGTGAAAATTTCCCGACATTTATGGGGGTGAGCTGCATGTGTGAACGCTTGTGGCTAAATGTTTCACTCTGACTTTGCGAGGACTTTTTCATGCCAGCCCCTTAAGATTTACCGTTTACTGGGATAATATTAATTATAATAATGGGTAATGGTGTTTATATCACATTATGACCAATGTGTAACCGGTGCAATGTATGTTATTCTTCCACGCACTTGTTGATACTGTGAATATGCTCAGTTACATGTAGAATTGATCTACAGAGCTAAAAACTGTCATTATAGTGCCAGACTCTGTCAACCATTTTTTGCATCATGTTTTGCCTCCCCCTCGTCTGACATGTACAACTTCCCTGAGGCGACCCAGGAAGGTTTTCAGAGAAAAGCTTTCAGTATATATATATATATTTTTTTTAATCTTCAGGAGTGCATGTGTTTAAGACAGGCTCTGAATCCCTCCCATCTCCAGCAGCTCTATTATATCTGACTTTATCCATTTAAATCCATGTGCGGTAACTTCCTACCTTAGACACAATGATCAACCCCAGTGGTAAGATCCTGATTCCTGGGATCAGAGAGGCCGTGGCCCCTCTCTCTGATGAGGAGTGGAAAATGTACCAGGACATCGAGTTCGACGTCGAAAACTACAAGAGCAAGATTGGTGTCAGCCACCTCATGTACACCAACAAGGTAGGAAAAAAATCATAACCGCTTTCCAACAACTCGTCTTTAAGGCCTCATGTGGACACAACAAGATCAATTACTGTCACCGTTTGTTTCCTGCAGGTTGACTTATTGGCCCACCTGTGGCGCTACCCCACTGTCACCATCCACGGCATTGAGGGGGCTTTCTCCGACCGCGGCACCAAGACTGTCATCCCCGCTAAGGTTATCGCTAAGTTCTCCATTAGACAAGTTCCCAACATGGACCCTGCTATGGTCAAGAAACAGGTAAGACAGGAGGGGAAACGCTGCTTAGACATTATAGCCAAAGTCATGGACTGTAGGAGAAGTTTATCATGTTATCTTCTTGTATCCTGTTGTTGTGATGCTTCAGGTAACAGACTACCTTCATTCAGTGTTTGCCAAGAGGAAGAGTCCTAACAAGCTGAAAGTCACCATGGTGATCGGGGCCAAGCCTTGGCTGGCGGACCCGCAGCAGGCTCTCTATGAGGCTGGGAAGGCTGCTGTTAGGAGAGGTACAGACACACACTCGTTGAACACCGGTCATCTGTGACGTCATCTGTCTTTAGTTTGACCTTTGAAGGATGCAGCAAAGCTAAAGAGGCTGCATCCACGTCGGACAGTCTAGTGGGGGTCACACATTTTAGCTGACACGTGATTGTAAGTGTATGTAAGCTAAAGGTAAATGATGAGATCACAGGTTAGAGACACACCTCCAAGACAATCACAATGACAACAATGCAATGAAATGATTACTTTATCATGACTCTACTGGGGCCTCACAGTCATTCACAAGATCACCTCCCTATTCCATCACGTTAGCCACTGACTGATTGCATCAGGATGTGAAAAACATTTTCTAATTTTTCATCACTTTTTTAGCTGAACTTTCATGTCTCTTTATAGATATGGATCTTTTTTTTTTTTATCTTTGTGTGTAGTGCTTTGTAAATGTATTTGTAAAATGTTTGATACAGAAAGTGACACATGTGGTACATAATGATTCCACACGCTCACATGTTTAATTCTTGTGATAATAAACATGAAGGATTAAAAGAAGGTCCTCCCTTCTCTAGTTTTTGACATGGAACCCGATCTGATCCGTGAGGGCGGGACCATCCCTATTGCAAAAACCTTCCAGGATGTGACGGGGAAGAGCATCATCATGATGCCCATCGGAGGCTTCGACGACGGGCTGCACTCTCAGAACGAGAAAATGAGCAGGTTAGACGCCACAGTTTTAAACTCTACGACGTCCGACTTGTTGTGAAGTCTGTTGAAACGTTCAGTGGAACACAGGATGCAAAGAAACTGTGAGAAAGTACGAGTGCAAGATAATGACCATGCAATGGACTTAATCCGGCTAAAGCTTAAACATTAACCATGGCAATAGAAACAACAACAACAACGACAAAACATGAGAAACTGACTTCAATTTTTTTACCGCTTATAGGAACAATTAAAACAAAGAGCAGAGCAGAAACACTTCACTGCTTATTTGAATGTATACACCCATAAACACAAGAAACAAAGGACATGGACAAAGATAAGAATTGAATGGAACAAAGCTTTGCAGTCCCAGTAACCTTATTTGACTATAACCTCAAACGAAGACATGGTGGTGCACTGTTTATTAAATATTGGTAGAAGCTGCAAAGTATAAAAAGTAGATTTCTTAAAGCATGTCCTTACTTGTATATTTTGAAACAAAAAACAAACAAAAAAAGTTGAGCCTCCCAGTTGAGCGTTTTAACACAGTGTCAGAACCAAGCGGCAACCTCCGGTCTTGAAAAATGCAAAACCCTGCACTTCGTCGAGTACCCGCTTGAAGCTGGCCCCTTGAGCCCTGAAGGTCACATACACACCACAGGCTAAAAAGCCGTTTTTACAACATAAATAAACATGTTTACAGCTGGTACAAAAAACGAAACAGATCTGATTAGTTATTGTCATCACTGGTTTGGCACACACTATACGAGGGGTATATGGCTCCGTTTTACATTTCACAAAGCTTCTGCACTAATGACACTCAGGTGCAAACACACCCATGTACAGTAGTTCTGAGCAGCTTGCTCTTGTTTTGCATCTGATTGTGGAGAGAAGCTATCTGCACCTCCACTCTCTGCTGCACTGAGCTGTGCTCTCATGCATGATGGAGCTCAGTCCTGTGATGATAAGCTGGAGAGGACAGAGACACATTTTTTTCAATTTATTGTGAGGCTGGACTTAAAAAAAAAAGTTTGATAGGAGTTTGTTTCACAGTTTAAAACAACGCTTCGTCCTAGAAGGGCATCTAGAGAAAATTGTCCCTGTGCGTAAGCGCTACAGACCTCCACATATGGTGGACGAGTGTGTATATGTGCAGGGCTTCAGCCTGCTGACAGTTCACAACTGTTTTAATTCCCTTTTTCTAATAAAAAAAATATTACTGTCAAAAGGATATTATAAAAATCTGTATTTACAGATCATTAATTTTTAGGTCGAATAGAGGCTGAATGTTTGTCCTCTTCCCTTGAAAGTTTGTGCGTGACATCTCTTATAAATACTTTGCCTCAGTTACCGTCATCTCTATCACACAGTAATACTTTCACTTTAACTATTAGCGCCTGCTTTAGTCAATTTGTTTGTTTTTTTAAGCAAAGAGTCTCATTTGCATAGAAAGGGTCACATTATTCCCAAAAATGAATGCATAATGGCTTATTAAAAAATGTTTAAACAACAGCGGCACACAGAGAGACAGTTTGCTCTGCAACCAATTAGAGGAGCATTTAACCCTTTGCGTGTGATTTGTGAACTAGGAGGTGTTTTTTTGACTCATTTCTGAAGGTTTGGCGGTCGCAAAAGCTGCACAATCCTTTTGTGAATCAGGCTCTTGGTATGTGTTTGTGTGTGTGTTTGTGTGTGTGTGCGTGTGTGTGTGTGTGTGTGTGGTGTGTGTGTGTGTGTGTGTGTGTGTGTGTGTGTGTGTGTGTGCTGGTGTAAACAGGAGCACACTTAAGAGGACTAAAGTACCTGATCAAAACAGCAGCTTTATGAAGGGCTGATAATGCCATTGGACACTGAAACTACTCAGTTAATAGCTCGCCTACTGCTCATTTAGGAAGCAATAGAAGTAAGAAATACAATGTTTAAAGGCAGTTTTGGTCATTTTCTCTCCGGAAACACTTTATAAGATTTTGGTTGAAATCGTCTTTAGGTCCTGACAGAAAGTAAAAATGAATGTGCTCTGAAAAAAAAAGAAACAAAGAAAATCCGTCATCTGTAGCAGCTGGGCTGGAAATCTTTGGGTGTCTGACGATTCGATTGAGGATTGATTTTTGATTCAAAACGATTCTGGATTCATGATTCAAAGTGAATGAGTACATACTTCAGGATCTGCTCCAGTCATCTGTGAGACTGGCTGAATTTCTTGTTGCTCTATTTGGCATTCTACTGAGTTAAAGGGCTAGCCTTAGCACTTAGCACCTTATATATATATATATATATATATATATATATATATATATATATATATATTGACGTTTGGAAGTTATGAATCGATTTTATAACTTCAATTCATAACGTGAGGGGCGTGGCTTTTGAGGGAGCACAGAGGGGAGGGGGTGTAGACGGAGCACTGAGGGAATGCTGCTTTCAAAATCATGCCAGCATTGCGTAAATGTCTCCGTCATAAGGGGACTAAAATGCTGATTCAGGACATTATCTGTAAACATATATAGCACAAACATTTGTGTAATGTTTCCATTTCTCCTCCATTCTTCTCTCACTGTAATCTCTCCTTACTTCACCTTTCTTTCTACAGGTACAACTATATTGAGGGAACCAAGTTATTCATCGCCTACCTGAATGAGGTGTCCAAGATTCAGAAGACCAGTGTGTAATGAGAAATGACCTCCTCAGTGTTCCAGCTCCAGGGATCTGACACAAGCCTGGTTTTTATGCAATTTATCATCTTTCATCTTTCTTTCTTTATATCTCAAGCGTTTATTTATCTGCACCTCCAGCAGCACCTCCTCCATTCCTTCCATCCTATCTATCTATCTATCTATCTATCTATCTATCTATCTATCTATCTATCATTTTGAGTGACTGTCATGGCACTCTCTGAAGTTATCTCTCTGTGTGCATACCTTTATGCTCTGTATAATGTCAAACTGTACTGTAGGAGTGTGTGTGTGTGTGTGTGTGTGTGTGTTTGTGTCATGTAGTAAAAGCTGTACAATGCAACCAGTGTGTACTTTTTTTTATTAAGTAAGAAAGAGTCAAATCCTGGGAGTTAATTCAGAAGCATTCATTTTACACAATGTAGCCCACAGAAGCTGAGAACTCCAATGCAACGTGTGTGCATTTCCACATGTAGTGTTTTATCATATCTAACAGTTGCTGTGCACCAACAGGAAACGATGATGATGGAAATGGTGACTGCAATATTTGACCACTGGCGTTACAGCACTTTGAGTTTTACTGAACAGTCAGCAAGCTGCTTCTTTTCCGTACTTCTTCAGCGCATCACGTTGGTGTTCCTCCGTTAGCAGCAAACTGATCAGCTGATCAGGTCTGCTGGCTCCGACAGAGACAAGCAAACTAAAGACTTAAACATGGAGTTTACTGTGGATACAAGATACGAGCTTGACAGTCAGTCACACAATTGGCACAAAAATGTATTATGTATTCTTTTATTTGTTTTTTTTATTCAACCAAAAAGGTCAAAGACATATCACACACAAACACAAATATTAATTACGATTAATCACATGCTATTTTGTCCCTTAAAGCGCACCGTAGATTAGCCTCCTCAGTGTCTCCCTGTAGTCACAGTGATGGAAAAGCATCTTTGAACGTCTCATGTCACTTTAAAAAAAACTCTCCGACAGCTCAGATGACGAGTTAAAAGTGATATCCACCTCATGACATCACACATTTCACTTCTTCAGCCGTTCCTTTGAGCTGTTTTAATTCAGTTTTTGATCCTTAACGAGCTCCTTTTCCGTTAGTTAAGTTAATGTTGTAACCTTCGATCTACCAGAAGGTGATTACAGCGGAGTATTTAAAAATTATATGCGTTTTGACAGCCCTCGTGTGTATGCATAAATAATAGATTTTTACAGACTCGTAAGAAAACAAGGAAGGAAAAGGCATTATTATTTGTTTAGCACATTCATAATCATGTTTGATAAAACAAAGACACCGAATACAATAAAAAAGGAGTCAAAGATTTAATTTTCATTAAAATGGCTCAGAATTTTTTATTTTTTTTACAATTAAACAAGTTCAGACAAGAGGTGCATTATTTAAAAATAATTAACTTACAGTTTAAGCATAATAAACACAAGTTTAAGAGTAGAAATAGAGTTTTAAAATAACATTTAAAGGTGTGGTGTGCAGGGCAAAAGAAGGACAGTGTTTAGAGTCAGCTCTAGTCTGAAATCTTCTCAGAGATTATTCACGGTCTGTGCCGCATGAAAACAAAATGTGGGCGGCCAGTATGTTCTGGGGGTCCTCTGTCTTTTGTCACAAGCATGTCAGAAATGTTTTGGGGCACTAAGCCACTGAGAGACTTATAGTCAAGGAGAGACATTTGGAAATCGTCTGTGTAAGGGTTTTACATCTGGAGTATTGTGGTCATATTTTTTCAGATTTCATCAGGACTCTTGGAGCTGCATTTTTAATACAAAGATAGTAACCACTTCCTGTAATGAAAAAAACATTATGAGATGATTTCTGGTGTCATTACAGCTACACTTTCCACTTAAGCATTAATTCGATGTTCCCGTCTTTTATGATTTCATTTCCACGGTATTAGAGAGACGTTTCTGTTGTCATGCAGGGTGTGAGGCGTATCCCAGCAGGCAGCGGTGTGGAGGAACCCTGGTGTTGTGAAGAAGCCGTGTCTGACACTTCGGCGGCCTGATTCACAACACCAGCTGACCCTCCCCACCCTCACCCTCACTCACACTCACGCAGAGTTCAGAGGCAGTGTGAAGTCAGGAGTTCATCTTCAGTGAGTCAGACACACAAAAACGAGAGGCTGGCAGGACGCCACCACATGTTCACAGTTTGTTTCTCAGAGAGCAGCCGACACCTCATTATCATTAAAACAGACACAGTACTTACC